TCGATGACTCAGGTCAGGGGCCCCAGAGCTGCCAAGATGGCTTCCTTTCGTCTGATTTTCCTGGTCACGGCAAAGCGGTACTAGGTGAGGGCGGCAGAAAGGGCTTCAAACGAGCTATCACGGTGAAAGGAAGCTCTGAAAAGAAAGGAGAGGGCCGGGGGCAGGACCCCGAGAGCTAAGCGCCATGTCCTTGTCCCCCTCCTCCGCCTCTCAGGGTCAGGGCTGACCCAGGGCGCGTGACCCTGCGGCTCCCCTCCCCCCAGTGTGACTGCCCAGCGGCTTCTGCTTCCTCTTCCCGCCTGCAGTTTCCTCTTTCCCCTTCAGAGCAGGATGGGGAGCACCTTCCCAGGCCCCACGGACTGGTCCAGAAGGCAGCCAGGGTTTGGATGGTCTATCAGTGGTCGGCAAACTGCGGCTTGCGAGCCATACGCGGCTCTTTGGCCCCTTGAGTGTGGCTCTTCCACAAAATACCGACTTCTGCGCATGGGCCACGAAGTTTCATTCGCACTGTACATGGTATTTTGTGGAAGAGCCAAACTCAAGGGGCCAAAGAGTTGCATGTGGCTCTCGAGCCGCGGTTTGCCGACCACGGGTCTAAGTGGTTGGCCGAGGCCTTGTTCCTTTCAGTCACGCTGCGCCAGTGGGCACCGAGGTCGGACTGGGCTGTCTGAGTCACACCAGAACTGGGGACACACAAGAGGTGGAGGCCCTGAAATCCCTGATCCCCCATCTGATTACCCCACATTGGTGTTTGTGGGGGAGCGGGAGTGGCTGAGTGACTGGTCTTGTTTTGGCCTCTGGCTCATGCCTGGTCCCCTGGATCCTTCATGCTCAGGAGGAGTGGACGAGGGTGAGGCCTGGGGACCAGGGTGAGGCCTGGGGCGAGGCCTCCATGGAATCCCGAGAGGAAGGCCGTCACCTTAACCCCCTGAGCAGGACATAGCTCTGCCGTCCTCACCACGGTTCCCTCTGTGCTGTTCGCTTAGCCTTTCTTCAGGAGGACGGACCTAACAACTGTTGACCATCTCTTCCCAACCCTCTCAACCCTCCCACTCTTCCCAGCTTATTCCAGCTGCCTGAACAACACCTCCAGCCAGAGCTTAAGGCCGTGTCTTTTCATCCTGTCTGAATGCGCAGGGTTCCCCTATTTAGTTCCCTTCTCCAGGCAAAACAATCATGTTTCCTCTTCCCTGAAAAAGATATTACGTTACCTACTCATTCTTCTATAGAGTCCCGGGCTCCTCGGGCTCCTCGTGGCTACTAGCCGAGGTCTGCCTCCTGTGGGAAGGGTTTGCGGGGGGGGGCAAGCCCGGAGTGATCTTGGCCTCTCTGAGTAAGCACCCCGAGTCCCAGGAAGGGGAACAGTAGAGGACTCACTGGGCCGGCTCTCTGCTCCAGGAGGGTTCCATGTCCTCAGTGCCCGGAGGCCCTCCCAGACCTGGACTGTCCCTGTTCCATCCTGTGCACGGAAGGCCTGGCTCAGGACCCTGCCCTGTGGTGTCTGTCCCAGGCCGGCCTTTCTCTACGTGAAGTCTCCAGTGGCAGGGCAGGATTTGGCAGGGGGTGGAATGGTGGCACTGTCGCCACTGGCCTGGTTCTCACAGTGCCCAGCGCTCTATCCTCTTCAGGCCTGCAGAGTTCTAGAACAGGCACAGCCACGGACAGGCCACCCAGTCTATTTTCCCAGGGCAGGTGCCAATGGCACCTGCAGCCACAGCCAGGAGCCACGTTAGAAGCCCTAGCTGTCTAGTAGCAGCCCCTGTTAGGGCAGGGAGTGGTGGGATTGATTGAGGAGGGAGTGTAAGTCCCCACCGGCCTTACAGGGGAAAGGGACTGTCAGCATTGTGGATGCAGAGCCAGGAAGGGGGATGCAGGGAGTGGGGGTGACCGACTGGGTGGCCACTTGGGAAAGGGACCTCTTCCCACCATCTCCTAAGGCCAAGGTCCCTCTGCTCTGCTGTCCCTTGCTGTTTCCTGGACTGGTGGTGGGTCCTTTGGGTGGTGATAGATCCTTTGGTTTTTGTAGTTGTTTTTTTGTTTGTTTTTCTGTTGCTGCTTTGTGACAAGTTGGCTCTTATCTCAGAAGCATTCCCAGTGCAAAGTCATCCCATGGTCGATAAAGCCGTTACCATGCTCCCCCGAGAGGATACATTGGACTGTCTGCTAATCCTTGAGACAGCTGCCCGCCTCTCTATTGGACGGGGCTGCCCGGTACCCAGTGCCCGTACGGCAGGTGGGACTCCAAAAAGTGCCGCTTCTTCATCGCTTCTAGGCCTTGGGGCGAAGATCAAGTGTAAAACGTGCGGCTTCTTGCTAACAAAGCCGGCCCCAGTCTGGGGACCTCACCACCCAGGTGCATTGGTCCTGGGCCTTTGTGCCAGGCCAGCCTCACCTTTGTGCCAGGCTGCCACCCTCTGCCCTCACAGCCTCCCTGGGGCAGTGAGGTGGAGCCCAGCTGTGTGTGTTTGCCCCCTGCTCCTTCGGGCCTCTGGGTTCTGCAGGCAGGGCTTGTGGGAAGTGAAACCTGTGGTTGCCCACGCTGCAGGAGCGCGCCAGCTGTCTTTCCTGCGGGTTACTGTGAGTTTGGCAGCCTTGCCTCCGCTCAGCCCAGCCCTTAACCTGACAGATGTCCCCGGTCCCCTTTGAACTGGGGCACGTTGGCCTTTTTCTCAGAACAGTGGCCAAAGTGGAATGGAAAGAGGGTTGAGCTAAGAGGAGGCCTGGCTCCAGGCTCTGCCCAGCCAGCTGTGAGACTGAGCTCATCCCTCTGGCATGCAGAGCCCAGGCAGGAAGTCCCAGAGGGGGCCTGTGCCAGGTCCAGCATCACACCGCGCCATGGCGGGCCTCCTGCCCCTTCCAGGGCGGAGCTCTGCCTGTCGGGATGTCAGTGTGCACCTCTGCTGAGCCTCTGTGTCTGCTCCCAGGGCACGTGGCAGGCCCAGCAGGCCGAGTCTGCCCTGAACCATGGCAGGCTCCCCGTAGGCACTGGAACCTGCCCCCGGGCAAGGTGAGGGCACTGGCGGTTCCGCCAGCCCAGGTGTGAATACTGGGGGAGTGGGGCAGAAGAGGAGTCCTGGCCTCCAAGTCCCCATGTCCCAGGGAGTCCAGGGGCTGGAACGCCCCTCACCCGGAGGAGTGTGGTGCCAGGCCCACCCCAACTCACCTCCTGTAACAGGGCCGCATGGGGTGTTTCAGCCCCTCCAGCTCTTCTTCCTCATCTGAAAGTTTAAAATACCAGCAGCTGCCCAGCCGGTGTGGTTCAGTGGTTGAGCATCGACCACTGAGGTCACAGTTCAATTCCTGATCAGGGCACAGGCACAGGTTGCAGGCTTGATCTCCAGTGTGGGGCATGCAGGAGGCAGCCAATCAATGATTCTCTCTCATTGATGTTTCTACCTCTGCTTCTCCCTTTCTCTCTAAAATCAATAAAAATATATTAAAACATAAAAATAAAACACCAGCAGCTGTCCCGCTGGGTGTCAGGAACTCGTACGACCCTTCGTCGTTGGCACCACCTCACTCACCTGTCAGTGACCCTACGAGAAAGGTGCTGATCTCTGCTTTTCACATGAGCAAATGGGGGTGAGGGGTGAAGCCAGGTTTTGCCGGACTCCCCAGTCCTTGCTCTTTTTTTCCACAGAGACACAAACTCCCAGAGATGTAGCTCTGAGGGCTCCCTGTGCTGAAGTCGTGTGCCGGGGAGGGGCTGGCAGAATGGAAAAGGCAGTGAGGAAGCCTGCCCCGGGCTCCCCCCAAATAGTGCCCAGAGCAGAGCCTCGGGTGGTGTCCAGACCCCTCTGATCTAGAAAATGCCAGCCCCTTCCGTGCCTTCCCATCCCTGTCACCACATGGCCCCACATGACCTGTCCCCTGCCTCCTTCCAGCTTGGCTCAGTCCCGCCGTCCACACGCCCTGAGCCACCTGGAGTTCCCCAAACAGGCAGTGTCATTTCACGCTCTGCTTTTGCACATGCACTTCCCTGTCGCTGGACACGCTGCCTGCCCGGCTCTGGTCGACCTGGCCTCCCCCTGCTTGTTTTTGAGGAGTCAGCTAAGGCCTCGCCTCCCACCCAGCTGGCCCCGGCGCCCCTCCTGTGCCTCCTTGCTGTGCACGGCTGCCCGCCTGTGTCGCGATGTGGCCCCAATTCTGCATGTGCCCCCTGACCTGTGAGCACCCGAGGGCAGAGATCTCTGCTACCGTTTCTCTGGCATGTTGCTGGATCCCTACCCAGTGCCTGGCACGTGGTAGGCACACGTGTGGACGTGGGTGGGAGAATCAGATGTCAGAGTCGGCATCACCGTGTCCTGTGGTGGCAGAGTCCCTCCCCCGCGGTCCGGAGAGGAGTCCAGATGAGAAGTGCCTGGAGCGGGGAAGAAAGGACAGCAGGGACACGGCAGGAGAGCGCCCAGGAGGCTGTGTGGGTCCCTGCCCGGGGGGCAGGCCCTGGCGCTTGGGATGGAAGCAGCGTGGTGGTGGGGAGTGGGGGAGGGAGGAAAGGGCGGCTGGCCACCAAGCTGGACTGTTGAGCCCCGCACTGGCTCTGAGCAGCTCCTCAGAGGGCTCATGTGTCTGCCAAGTGGCAGCCTGGCTTCCCAGGCAGTACCAGGCTCCATCGCTGGCAAGGGCCTTCCTGCTGGGCCCGTCAGGGGAGAGCAGTCCGAGCCAGCGCCTCGGGGACCTTTCAGATCCAGGGGAGATGTGCTTTGTCACCAGGGTCAGTGGCAGCCAAGATAGGCTCCGCTGTAGCCCAGAGTTTTTTTTTTTTTTTAATATATTTTATTGATTTTTTACAGAGAGGAAAGGAGAGAGATAGAGAGCTAGAAACATCGATGAGAGAGAAACACCAATCAGCTGCCTCCTGCACACCCCCCACCGGGGATGTGCCCGCAACCAAGGCACACGCCCCTGACCGGAATCAAACCTGGGACCCTCCAGTCCTCAGGCTGACGCTCTATCCACTGAGCCAAACCGGTCCCGGCCAGCCCGGAGTCTTAATGGTGACACCACAGGGACCAGGGACCAGGGCGAGAGCAGTATTGGGTTCACCTCTCTTTGAGGCACATGTGGTTGGTGCTTATCCCCACGTGCAATTGATGCGGAAACCAGGGACTTGCATCTGATACACAGTCAGAGGCCTCACCCGAAGCTTTCAGCTTCTTCCTGAGCAGGCAGCCTCCCGGGCAGGGCGCTGGGTCGGGGCTACCTGTAGGGCTGCAGCTTTCTTCCATCCATCGCTCTCCAAAGGCCAGCTGGGCACCCTCTCCAAATTCCCCTCGGATTCCGCATGCCCCTGACTAGGAGTCATGAGCCATATGCCAACGGTGGAAACATTTCTGCTTGCTGATGCCAGTCACAATGACAGTCACCTTGGAGTAACGCCAGGCTCCCTGGAGAACTCACGCGCCCTTGGGAGCTGGGAGCTGGGGGGACCAGGTTGTAGGGGAACGTGAAGTCCAGGCTAGATGGTTGGAACTTCGTTCTCAGCAGAATGAAGAGCCCTGGAGAAGTGTAAGTGAGTAATGAATGAAGCGGGGCACGTGTACCTTCATCCTTTTAAGGGTGAATTGGGGCCCAGCTAGTGTGGCTCAGTGGTTGAGCATTGACCTATGAACCAGGAGGTCATGATTTGATTTCTGGTCAGGGCACATGCCTAGGTTTCGGGCTCGATCCACAGATGGGGGCATACAGGAGGCAACTGATCAATGATTCTCTCTCATCATTGATGTTTTGGTCTCTTTCTTCCTCTCTGAAATCAATAAAAAAATAGTTTTTAAAAAAAGATGAACTGGGGGCAGTGGAGAGAATGGAGACAGAGAACCCAGGCAGGAAGCGCGTGTCCAGGCATGCATAGAGGAGGGCCCGGGAGCCCCCCTAAATAAAGGCTCTGCCTAAATCCCCTTCGTGACACAGTTAGAAGTGAGTGTGGGTTTTGGAGGTAGATTCCCGGAAGGGCGGGTTGAGTCCCAGTGTCCAGCCCCTTAGGTTCATGGAGCTGAGGGATGCAAAGGGCTTCAGGTCCCTCGCAGCCTTCCCCCCTCCCACCCTCACCCCCACCATGAGATCTTTCATAGACCAGAGCTTCGGGTCTTTCTGAGTGCCTGACCCTTTCTCCCGGGCAGGGAGCCTTTGCAGCCCATTTTCCATGCGTCTCCTGACTCCAGCTGCTGACTCAGCTCAGCTGATCTCTGCTGGGGAAGCAGACAGTGACTCAGGGCACCGAGGCCCTTCCCAGGCCCCGCGGCCGGGCGTGCACGGAAACTTTACTGGTGTTTGGCTGAACCGTTCTTTCCATCCCAGACACAGCGCACGGGGTGAGGAGTGGGGGGTGAGGGGGCACATGTGATGTGTGAGCCACCGATGGAGAGAATGACCCTGCTGTCCAGGGGGAGGCGAGACTGGGACCAGGAAGAGCACGTGGTTCTGTCCGCAGCTTCCCCCTGGAGCTACATTTCCATGTATGGTCTGGGCTCTGCGGGGGCAAGCCGCAGGGGGCTAGTTCCGCCGTGCTCTGAGCTCACAGGGAGTATTGAGCTCACTGTGGAGATGGACCCTTCTCCCCTCTCGGCCTCCCATCCTCTCCTGTCACTTCTGGTATTTTAAACACGATTTTCGCTCCCTGCCCCCATCTCTCTCACACATGCATCCAGCCAGGCACCCTGACCTTAGTGAGGCTGAATGAGTGCAGAGGTGACGGAGGTGATAAGAGGCATACTGGGTGCTGGTGCTGAGCCAGTGCGGTTGGAAGCACTCAGAAGCGGGGGCCAGGAAGACAGGGCTCCCTGAGCACCCTGGCCTGGGCATCTGTCCCTGCTCTCCCTATGGCCTCTGCCCAAGACTCTTGTGTCCGGAGGGGGCCTGAAGGTAGAGTTGGTGGTGCTGAGGCCCGG